GTAATTTTTGATTAATAATATGCATTGCTAAGAACTTAATTTGGATAACTTTAAAGGTGATTTTCTCAGTATTTAGATTTTTTTTGCACCCTCAGATTCCAGATTTTCAAATAGTTGTATCTCTGCCAAATATTGTACTATCCTAACAAACCATACATCAATGGAAAGCTTATTTATTCATATGATGTATAAATCGCAATTTCGAAAAATTGACCCTTATGACTGGTTTTGTGGTCCAGGGTCACATATTTTATGTATGTTAAATTGAAGGTATGTTATTATCTGAAGAAAGAAGAGACCATGACAGATGATAGAAGAGTCACTAACAAGTAAGTTTGTTTCAAATATAATTACGTTAATAAAACGGATAAAAACACATTTTCAAATGACAAAAGCAAATCAAACGGCCATAAAAGAAATCTGTCAAACTTGCCCTTATGTCAGATTGGTTCCCATCTCTGGTGCAGAACACTGGGTGGGACAGACCAGCCACGTACCCATAGTGTAGCCTGCTATAGTCTGCATTCAGGAAACCTGTAACCGCCTGCACAATTAGGGAGAGGCTGCCCTTGCAGGCCAGGATAGCAGGGAAGCTCTGCTGCAGTCATAGCAATGGACAAAGAGCACAACTCTGTGCATTGCACACCTTGGTCAACTGGAAAATCTGGGCAACACTGTCAGTTCACCCCAGGGAAACACTTGGAGTAAGGACTAGGGTCTGTGGCGTGTGAGACACAGCGTGCATCTCAGGTTGCCAAATATATATATATTTTGGATATATTTTCATATATAGAAAACTCCAATGTGCTTCTAAATTTTTGACTGATTTAGGAAGAGAGAGAAAGAATGGACTCTATTCACAAGAATACAATAGTGTGATTGAGAGCTTGAAAGGGCCCCACATGACCTTAAACTGAGATGTTAACCTAGATAAGAAACAATCTATAACTCTAGACCATCCCATAGGACAGGTACTAAACTTTAACAAGCTCTTCCACTATCAGGGGTTTTGACTGTTCAGCAAGAGCTGTAAATCCTCAAGAGTATATGAGTATATATGTTTATGCCACACTGTGTGATTTATCTAGATGGCCTGTCACAAAATGTGTCACAGATTCATCAGAATTCAGATTCATCAGGCCTGTGTTTCTCCAAAATGGTATTTTCAGTGGTTTGTATGATTTTAAATGTATTGCCAGTTACCCATTAGGCTGTGTGACATTTATTTTAATATATCCTTGATTTAATGTCCAGCAGATGGCAGCACTACTTTTCATATCTTCTATTAGTTCTATTAGCACCACTGATGAAACAGACCAATGTCAATACTGACTAGGTTCAATTTTGTCATTCTAATGTGCATCATTTTAGTTCCTCATTTTGGAGTAAATGTAAACGAGGAATTCCAGGGAAGCAAATGAAAAGTCTTTCTATTCTCAAAACTGATTACTAATAGCCCACTACTGAAGTAAGAGGTTGAGTAATATGAATAAATGAACAGAATAGATAGAAAGTAAGACAGCTAGAGAGGTGTACGTGTGTGTGTGTGTGTTTTGCTCACTGGATGTGAGGGAACTCAGGGCGTAGTAACAGTGTAAGATGTCCTCGTCATTTTTCTCCGCTGTCAGAACCTCAGTCCACTGGGCCTGTGAAAGGGAACAAGTGACCTGTACCTGCAGAGCTGCTTCACATACTCATAAGCATACAAACAGTCTTTCTCTCTCATTCACACACACACAATCTTTTTTTACTCTTACCGGTGATAAGTTGTAGCTCTTTGCAGACAGTTGTCCTACATTTCATCCTAAAATACAGATTCCTGATTTATAACATCTACCAAAGCACTGCAGGTCTCTTTCAACTCTCCAGTTCACTGGGCTGCACTATCAGACAGATATCTGGTCTTAAAAGAATTCTGTGACATTAAAGGGGTCATATGATGCTGCTAAAAAGAACATTATTTTGTGTATTTGGTGTAATGAAATGCTGTTTATGCGGTTTAAGGTAAAAAAAAAAACACATTATTTTCCACATACTGTACATTATTGTTTCTCCTCTGTGCCCCGCCTTTCTGAAACGCGTTGATTTTTACAAAGCTCATCGGTCTGAAAAAGCGAGG